TCGATGCGCCTTGAAATTTTCTACAATTTGGTATATTTGCTTTCTCAATGCTGGATAGATCATCTTATCCGATTAGATCTTTTTTGCAAGTGACCGCGAACTTTCTGCTCAACATAATATTTAGAAATCATTTGATCAGATTTTTTGATCATTTCTATATTGTCTCCGCTTCCCTTGTGATCAAACATGATATTTCGGAACTCTTATCCTTCTACTCAATAAGATCTGTTAGCCTAAAAATATTCACATTTTTTGTAAAAAACTTTAAAATTTTTGTGAGTCGACGCATTTCTTTATGCCATCGAATTTTTAACATCGTTTTCTTTCATATTGAATCTTTTTTTTTCATGTTTCTCAATCAATAGAAAGAAAAATATGTACTGAGAGTCATCTAAATTATTAAAACAAAATCATCCATAGTATCTATATAGTGCATGGAAATTACCTTTCCAAAAAAATGATCTTCTCATTTCTGTAAGTTTGACGTAATGATATGAGATGTATAGGCAAAACTTTAAATTTCGTAGCTTTTTCTTTACAGACATTCCGTCTCATTCAAAACTATCATCCAAGTATTCTAATTCTGATTTCGATTTGATATTAGTATGTAGATTGTATAAGTAAACATCATTGTTGTTCGAAACGCATTAAATATGTTCATTGCATTTTTTCTCGCCAATAATATTGTCACGTTTTTCTTTGCATATAATTTGACATGACTCTTGAAATGTTGACTGTTTAATCAGATCCTATAGAAATTTTGGAAGCAAATAGATTCTGCTTGTCTCATCTTTTAGTAACATAAGAAGTTTAGTTTTTTAATATATTCGGCAAAATTTGTATTGAAAGACGATTTTTGAATGAAAAATGAAACTTTTTTAATGTATATAGTTGATTTTTTAAAAGTAACTGATGGATACTGTTGATAACATGATCCTTTGTCATATCGTGTCATCATCATGATACTTAATGATATTTTTGAGACCTCCTCTCCGATCATCTAACTAATTGTGTGATTTCCGGCCAGTCCCTCATAATGACTATGTCGGAACTTATCGAAAACTAGACGATATTGCTCAACTCAGACAAGATTTGACTATCTATCAAATAAATAGATTTATACAAGAGAGTATTTCAGTGAATATAAAGTAAACAAGACAAACATTTTTATATTTCAATTTCTGTTTTTTAATAACTCATTCGAATTGAACAAACATCGATGATTAGTAAAAGAGATATTTCCAAAAACAATGTTAATCGGTCATTGGTTTAATATGACATTAGTGTAATAAGCAATCTTTACTTCTTGTTATAAAAAATTGAGATATCAATATCATTACGCCAGAATATCATACGAACAAGAAAAAACGTGAAAAAATTTTTTAAAATTTAAATAATAATCCAGATATATGGAAAGTGGTAAAACCAAGTTTTCATCCTTATCGTTCATCTTTTAAAGGATTCAAAATTAACGATAAAGAAATTATAAAAAATAGTCAGAAAATAGTAGATCAGTTAGGAGTCATAAATAACTCCCATATGATAGTAGTATAGAACGAGAAAATCAGTGGGTTTGTCTGATGCTAAACATCCTGAATGTTTGAAATGTAACAATGACTTATCTAATGGCTGAAGTGTATTTTACAAAGAATGTCTTCGTCTTGTTTATATATAATGAGACACCGCTGTAGGTAATTGTAAGCCGCTTGATAAGGATCAAAACGCAATGATTTCTCATTCGTTACCAAATAAGTCCAACTTCCGCCAGATATTCGTGGAAGACTATGAATTGCGATCTGGAAATTCAAGCTGCATGGCAAGATAATCAAATACTCTGTCATGTTCGTTCGAGCATGCGTACATTATGGCGAGCCAGAATTTTACAGAATGAAGACGGTTTAAATATGGATTGAATAACGTATAAAGACGATGAGCTTCTAGGATGCAATCGGCAGCAAGCACAAACTCACTAGATTATGCGTAAATTTCTCCGAGTTCACAATTCAATTCAAATTTTTCCATGTTGTCGTTTGTAGAGTTGAGAGATTCCCTTAACAATCAATATGCTCGCTCTTTGTGACCAAAAAATACTAAACTGGTCCCAATTATAATGTCATGCTTATTTCGCAATTTCTTTGCTGCAATATAAGAGTCTATCACATTATCTATTTCATTTACATTCACTAAAATGTACTGTCCATGTATTATCCTCATCAAGTATGGTATCAATTACTCGAAAACTAGTGACAAAATCAATCAGAATTTCTTCTTCATCAGGAATGTGACTGTAAATTGAGATATGAACATAGATGATATTCTCCACTTTGGGATCAATTTCGATATCGAACACGACATTGGCTGTGAACATTCGAGCAATAAGAAGGGATTTTTTTGTTGATAGAAAATCCTTTGCAGTTATCGATTTACCACTATAGTTCTGAATTCGAATGACTTCGGTTTCTGGTAGATTCAAGTCACGGTAAACATGAATTAAATCCAATTTAGCATTTTTCTCTTCTCTCTGTTTTTTCCATTCCAGTTGAATTTCTATCGAAATATCGATAGTAAAATAAACCATATCACAATCATAGACATTACCAGATTGCTTTCGCAAGCATTTATTTAAAGAAGAGAATAAGAAACAGTCCTTTGAATACCAACGAAGTGCATTTTTAGATTCATACATTCTTTCAAATTCATCAATATGTTTCAATTGAGTTGAATTTGAAGCATAATGTTGACGACAGTATGTCAACAATTTTTCCTTCTCATTTGGAATTATAAAACGGTTAGTTGAAAAGCGAGAATGCATATCGAAAAGATCAACTTCGGGCTTATCAATTAGTTCTTCCATACCTACCTCTTTCGGTCAATTTTTCATCAAAATCGAAAGCTATAGTCTGATGATTTAATGTTCTTGCTTGTACCAGCATCTTCTTTTCTAGCGGTTCATAATCGGTAAATATTCCGTAAATTTTATTGTAAGTCTCAAGTGAAATATGCAAAGAACTGGCTAAAATAAGTATTGAAACTATTCGCCGTTCGTTGTATACATTGTTCAATATTAATTCATGGTTCATGTTACCCGATAGAATTAATAAAACTTTTTCAATATTATGAATGTCATCATTGATTGCTTTCTGCAAAGCTTCCATGTTTGTACATTCGAACAAACGATAATATATCGTTCTACGAATATCCTTTATGTGTTCGCAGAGATTTTCATCATACCATATTATATTCACGTATTCATCTATCGACATCTTTGTTTTCGATTAATGTTATAATCTGTCAGTAGTTATCTCTTACAAGAAAATAATCTATAACCCCATTTATTTAATTAGGTTGATCGAGTTGAAAGTTTAACGTTAGTTGCAAGCGATATGTAATTTTAGTTATGTATTGAGACCTGCAGAAAGAATAAAACTATGTGTTTCACATAAAAAACATTGATATTTGTGAAAATATCAAATTTTAATATATTAAGTAGCTTCCTTATCTTTTCTTTAATCGTACTGCAAGTTTTATGACTGATATTTGTGGGCCACTTCGATTGTAGACCTGCTAGCATATGATTCACTTATTTACATATTGATTGTTTTAGATTGGAAAATAACTAGCGAAACTTAACAGCGTAGTATATTTATACTTTACATATAATCTTTGAACTACGTAAAATTCAAAGACAAAGAAACATTCATAAAAAATACTACTCAAAAAAAAGTATAAGCTTAAAGATTTTTTCTTTTGTTTTTCGGTTGGAGTTTGCTAAAACAAAATAGATTTCAGTCGTAAACACTAGCAAAATCTACAACATTCTAGGTTTAGTTAATTTTCAATTAAAGTTGAGCATAACTTAATATAAATATATAAGATCAGTTATTTATTCTCATCACTTTAGATTCCTTTTTTTTTTTTTTACTTTGAAACCTCTTAAAAACTCTGTTTAATTGTGCCTAAATCTGAACTTTGCTTGACATATCACAAATATATACTGGCCATTTAATGAATAAAATTCGTTCATTATCAATCATCTGTTAACAGGATAATTTTCAGCTGTAGATAGGTCTTTGACTGATGGTCTGAACAAGATACACTATCCAAGACAAATAATTAAAAGAAATAGTGCGTTATTATTATTAGTATGAACTGCGTCAAGAAGCATTATTCTATCTACGGCACAGTGGCATAGTACTTGGAATTTATACGACATGTTTTAAACCGTATAATAAGGTATGTGAAAAAAGTTCGCAGCAATTTGCAATCGATATATCTCTGCAGCCGCTTAAGTAATTGCAATGAGTAAATAGTTATTTTAACGAGTATTTCATGTTCTTTTTAAATATATGTTCAATTTTGTTTTTCTGACTTATGGTTGGTTCATTAAGAGCAAATCCTTGAAGGGACCAAAATCGACGTCTGCATAGGATTTTTCATGCATCCCATTTTTGTATTTTGATTAAAATCGCTTTGATACAGACTGTGAGAAAATCTTTTTATACATCAGTTTATAGAGTGAAGCTTGCTCTATAAAATGTACAATTTGTTACTCTTGTTACATACTGCTACAAAAGATCGAAATTTATTGCATTTTAAATACCGAAATTCGAATGACGAGAAAAAGTATACTTTGCTCCATGCAAACTCTTTTTGATTTTTTCACGTATTTACTCACAGCTGATGAGTCTGAAGTCAGAGAAAAATTCTGAAAATACATTTAGAAAAGGTATCAAATTCTGACTCTGATTGACTACTTTTCATTCTCTTCAATGGCGTCTGAGTGTCCAACAGCTGAGCAAATATGTGTACTAAGACCTGTTAACTGAACGTTCTCTACAAACGTCGATTTTTGTCCCTTCAAGGATTTGCTCTTAATGAATCAAACGTAAGTCAGGTAAAGAATTTGAACATATGTTTAGAAAGAGCATGAAATGCTCGTTCTGGTCGACTACCTTTAATTCTTTTCGGTGAGTTATACATATGTGACTGAGAATTGAACAAACATGTTGTGCAAAGACTTTTGCAACAAGAGTTTTAAAAAAAATGTGTTTGAAAAACGTTAATGATATTCTCACATTTATATCTCTCTTATTTCTTAAACTAGAATCTTTATTTTTGCACATTAAGTATACTTTCAAATGCTCTTTAAAATGACAATTTTCTAGTTGAAAGTACTTACGCAGTTGCAAAGACATATCGATTGGAAAATTGCCGCAAACTTTGTTCTCATATATTATTTAAACTTCAACATAAATCTTCAAAGATGAAAAAATGCCAAATGAAGACAAAGAAAACGATCAAACTCATTCTGATTTTTAATTATGTATGAAAAGTATGTTATGTTCTTTGTTTATTTATTTCAAAAGAAAATTATACTTTTGTTTTTTTTTTATTACCAAAATAAATGTTTGAAATTATTTTAATTTTTGTTTTAGTTTTTTTCGAAATCTTATATAAAATTCATTTAATTATCTTTATATCTTGTCCATTAAGTTTTTATTATTTCATTGCTATTGAATCACATGGAATAATACTGTTAGGTTTCTAATTGATTTTTGAAAAATAACTTCACATTATCTTAATAGTATGTTATCGGTTCATCCTACTTACAATCGATTAGTAAAAATAGTTGGAAATTCTTTGTACAAGTTTCTTTCATATTTGAACATTCTAACAAAATCCACTCGATTTTTCCTCTCGAGCCTATATAATACATATGTAATACTTCCAACTTAAATTTATAAAGTGTATGCACGACAATGCGTATCTACCTTCGTTAACAAAAGAGATTCCTATTTCGCAATGAAACTCTATTAATGAAACCTAGCTGCAATGAAAATGTTCTAGGATCTTAATGTATCAGATGCATTTAAAATATAGAAAAATTGTAAATACTAGAAAAAGATCATCG